CCTCCAGCCCTCCGAGCCCTCCGAGCCCTCCGAGCCCTCCGAGCCCTCCGAGCCCCCCGAGCCCGGCTCGGCGGCTCGCCCCTCCGAGCCCTCCGGGCACTCCATCCCTTGTGAGCCCTCCAGAGCCCTCCCGAGCCCACCAGCGCCACCCTCGTGCCTCTCTGCCCTCCGAGCCCTCCGACCCTCCGAGCTCTCCACCTCTCCCAAGCCCTCATGAGCCCTCCTACGCCTCGCTTTTGGCCAGCCCTCCCAGCCCCCACCCCTCCTGGGCCCTGCCGCCTGACACCTCTATCCGTGGAGGGCTTTAGGTCACGGTCCGCACTCCCGCCCTCCCGACCCCTCCACACCCCTACAGCGGCACCCCTACCCCTCCCGCCGTTTTAGGGCCTGCCCACCCGCACTCTGAGTTCACCGCCAGTTATCTGCGCCTCCGTTCGTCGCTCTCGTGCTTGATCGTCAGGCCGTGCTCTCACGTCCGCCGGAGCTACCTCGGCTATTGGCACCATTTCACAAGTTTGACCTGAGCCCTGGTCTGACAGCCTGACAGCAAACCCCGGACAGCGCCTGACAGTGCCCGACAGCCTGACAGCGCTGACAGCACTTTCTCTGACAGTCTGACAGCACGTGTCTGACAGCCTGACAGCAGAGTCTGACAGGCGAGGGGTCCCGTCGCTGTCAGGCCCTAACGTGACAGCCTGACAGTTGCCTGACAGCCCGACAGCACACAGTGGCCTGACAGCAGCGCTGACAGCCCGACAGCAGCACAGACCGTACACAGACCCCGTAGAGCCTCTTTCTTGTGCCCCATGAGGGTATAACAAAATTACATGCAAAGACATGTGAGTGTGGTCCATGTAGTCATGGGATGGTCATGGGTCTCTCAACCCTCCCGCCCCACCTCTGCGGACCCCTCTCTAGCACCGGCGGCTGTGCTACTAGCTACCAGCTAGCCTTCTGGTGCCCTACAGTCATATGCCTACGGCGTCTGGGTGGGGGTGGCCGCCGCCATCTGTGCCGCCGCCGCCGCCGCCGCCTGCGCCGCCATCTGCGCTCCCCAGGCGGCCGCCCCTGCCGGCGTGATCACGCCGTAGGAGGGGGGCAGCTGCGTAGCCGCCGGCGTCATCGGCGTCAGCGCCCCCGCCGCCGCCCGGCCAGCGGCCACGGCGGCGTCGACCGCCGCGTTGGTCGCAATCTTCTGCGCCTTGTGCTGCCCCCGCACCTTGGTCTGCGTGGTGCGCTGTGAGCGGGCGCTGCCGAGCCACTTGTGCGCGATCGACACGACCTGCGACCGCCGCGAGAGGAGGGTGAGTGCCCCGCGTGCGGGTATTGATGGACACACGGCGAGGAGAACGCACGTTTGCAGCTCGGCCAGCGTCGGCTTCTCCGCTTCCACCGGCAGGTCGGCGAGCCACGCGCGGAGGTGCGACTCGCCGGCAGTGTGGCGCAGCATGTTGGAGCAGTTCGAGCCGATCGCGCCAGTCTCCCCGTAGAGCGCGCCCTTCTTCTTCGTTCTTGCCACACAAGGAGCATTGGTAGTAGCCGAAGTGGCGGTCGAGCTTCTTCACCCCCTGCGAGAGGGAAGCCAGTGGGTGTGGGCGGGAGGGTGGTGAAGAGGAGTGTGGCGCCCACGCACCTTCTCCTGGCAGGCTGGTCATGACGCAGTTATAGGGTGTTGTGTGCCGTCATAGTGACTCTCTGTGTGTCAGTGATAGTCAGGGCCGTCCATCAGAGCTCCAGTAAGCTCGGAGACACCCCATTAGCGCGGCTCGACCTCTTTGAGTCACTGCCTTCCCGGCGGGTTGGCCGTGTAGAGCCTCTACAACCAACTCTACAGCAAAATCGCGCTCTACAGTGCTCTACAAGGGAGGCGCTTCGTCCCGCGCCGGATGTAGAGCTCTACAGCTCTACAGCGCTCCACAGCTCTACAGCTCTACAGCGCTCTACACTCTATCTACATCCTCTACACGCTCCCTCAGTTGGCAAGTTGAACTTCGCTTGGGGCAGCATTCTGTGGCTCGCCGCAGTGACGGTTTGGGTGGGTTCGATTTCTGGGCAACTTGTTGGCGGCAGCAGCGGAAGGATCAATTGCTGTACCGTATACAACGAGGGACCGATTCTGTGGAGGGCCGCGGGTATCGATTAGGCCGCGTGAGGGCCGGATCTATTGCTGTTAACCGCATCTTAAATCTTAAAATAGAGACCCGACCCGAGGCATGCCTCTCGAGGCGCGTGTCACAAGTGGGTGCCGCTGGGCCGCTCCCACAGCACCTAGCACCTAAGGCTTGCGATAACCGCCGAATCCCAGAAGTATAGAGGTTGAGGGCCCACGCGCCACGGGACTGCCCAGAGGTAAACGTGTGAGGGCCGCAAGGGCAGCACCAGGGAAATGCGGTTTTGGTCCGCCCGTCTGGTCTTGTGACTTGTCGGGCGGAGCGGGCAACGCCGTCGGGCGCGGCCTCCCGTAGCGGGCGGCGTGGATATCCTCTGAAGCACGAAGCGGCTCCAGAGGCCTTTTCCGTCTGTCGATGGCCCTTCCAGCGTGAGGAAGGAGGGGGGAAGGGGCGGTGGGACAAAAAAAGCCCATTCCAGCGTGAGGAAGGGGGGGGGGGGGGGGGGGAAAAGGGCCGTGGGACAAAACAGCTCTTTCCCCACTGGGACTCGAACCCAGGTCGTTCGGGTGAAGGCCGAATATCCTGACCAACTAGACTATAGGGAATCGAACCGGCAACCACGCAGCTGGCGGGAAGCGCGTGAGCACATCTCACCGTGGTGCACTTGCCAAACTGAGACGGGCTAACTCAGCAGTACAAGTATGTGAAAAGGGGGTATGAAGAAATAAAGATGGTGAATAATTGAGGAGAAATAGGAGGTGTTTGGTTTTGTAAGGTTTGAGGGTGGGTGGGTGGTGTGTTTGTGGAGGGGTAAGGTTTGAGGGTGGGTAAGGAGAAAAAATTATATGTATTTTAAAAAAAAATATATGTATTTTTTTGGGAAAAATTGTTTTAAAAATGAGATAATAAAAAAGAAAAAAGGGAGAAGAGGAATGGGGGTAAGAGAAAAGGGTTTGGTTTAAGGAAAAAGGGTGATGAAAAGCTCGATGCCGAAAAGGATGAGGAGTGGAACGGAGACGACGACGAGGATGAGGAGGAGGGCAGTCGCGTTTACTTGGACGCGTCGAAGTGTGGCCGCGTGCGCTTGCACGCGGTGCAAGGACCTGCGCAGTCGTCCTCCGGCCTGGGGGTGGACGACGAACGGCGCAAGAGCCTGGCCGACAAGGGCTGGGCACGCCGCACGGCGGTGGTGAACAGCGTGGGTGCCAGCGGTGCGGCGAGCTTCGAGTTGGTGCCGGGGCGCGAGCAGTTCGGCCCGGGCGACGATGCGGCAGCCGAGTGGGAGCGGCAGATGCTGCAGTTCACGGAGGACAACTTCGAGGACACGGGCATCGAGGTGCGGTCGATGGACAAGCGCGATCGCGAGATCGGGCTGTTCGGCGACTTTCTGGAGCGCGTGAAGCACGGCAAGTTCGTCGAGTGGCGGGCCGACCCGGAGCACGCGGGGTTGTACAAGCTCGAGATGGTGACGCGGGTGCGCGCCGCGCGCCTCTGCTTCTAGGGCGCGCGCCTCGTCTTGAGCGCGTCGCTGTTGCGCTCGATAGGTGGTGGAGGGCGAGAGCGGCGAGTCGTACGAGGTGCCGCTGGTGCCCACCTGGGGGATGGTGCTCGAGTACCTGATCAAGTCGTGCACGGGCCACCCGACGACGCCCAAGGGCGGCTCGAAGGAGTACCGCAACGGGCCGTGGTACAAGCCCATCTACGGCCGGGCGCAGGGCGACCGCATGGGTGAGCGGAGGGCGTACGGACACGGCTCCTATGCGGGCAAGAAGATGCGCTTCACCACGATCGAGCAGAAGTGGTCCCACTTCAAGAAGTGGTTCGACAACGCACTCAAGAACACGCAGATCGCCAACCCCGCACGCAACGCGCACATCGAGAAGGCGCGCGGGCTCGGGCGGCGGTTAGGGTAGGCACGAGGATAGTTGGGAGCGCGGGAAGGGCAGGGCGCGACGCTGACAATCGCGGTGCTGCGGCAGCAGGTGATGTGAAGACGATGGCGCGCAAGTGCACTCGCGCGCGCTACTACTCGCCTGAGATGATGCGCGAGGAGTACGTCCGCTCCGCGTTCGCGTGTGTGGACTGGGACGAGACCGAGGAGGTCTCGACGCTCTTCTACATCGCCAAGGACATGGTGCAGGGGCGGCGCGCGGCCGACGAGCTGATGCTCGACTGGGACGACATCAAGAAGGTCGACGCGACGGGGTCGACGACCGGCGGCATGGTGCGTGCAGCATCCATCGAACCACGCCACCTGTAGCGCGCCGGTAGTGCGAAGAGATCGGGGCGGTGCAGGGTTGACGTGACGCGTGCCGTGGCAGGCGGTGATGTACACCTGGACGAAGAACAACCCGGAGCAGCGCGACACGCCGAAGGGGCTCGCGTGCGTGGATGGCTGCGAGGGCGACGTGAACAAGGGCGCCGACGGCAAGTGGGTGGCGCCGAAGACGCTCTGCCCGGTCCACATCGGGTGGCACTCGAAGACGCTGCAGGCGCGTGACGCGTGCGTGCCCGTGGCGGAGCTCAAGGCGCCGGTGTTCTCCAAGGTGGCGCGCTTCGACAAGGTTCCCCCCGGCGCGACGCTCGTGGTGGACGAGACGGAGCGCGACGAGGTGGCGCAGAAGGTGGGCAAGCTGGTGCTCGTGATCACGCGCGAGCAGGAGCAGCAGGGGCTCATGTACGACGGCTCGATTCCGTTCATGCTGAACGGGCGCAAGTTCCGCCCGCCGGTGCGGGGTTTAATATAAATAAAAGTTTTCAAAAGGGGCGCAAGTTACGCGGCGAGGGAAAAGGGAGCAAAGAGTGGCAGCAAAAGGGACAAAAGGGTGGATGGGTGGGGGGACGATCGCTGGTGAGCGCCAGCGCGCCCCAAGAACGGTGGGGTGCCCTCGACCGCGCGTCCAAGTCACTTGGAAAGGGGAGAAATCGGAGCGATTCAGTCAGTACCAAAACAAGTGGGCCGCTGCGTCGAATCTAGGGAAAAGGAAAGGAAAAGAGACGGGGTGCGAGAGGAAAAGCTTGTTCAGCCTAAGCTCCGCGCCTGCAGATTTTGAAATAAATTCGACAAAATTGGTACCTGACCCAACGGGGGGACCTAAGAAGCCGCCTCTCGCCAGCGGGCCGCCGGACAACTGGCATCGGGCTGCGGGCAAGAGAGCCCTGAACCTGGGGGGTGCGCAGGCGCAGGGTGTTCATAACACGCTACACGGGAGGGGGAAGGGAGCAAAGGGGGAGCAAAAGAAATTTTCCGATGAAATCACGATGTCAACCCTCCCCAAATGGGTGATCTGATGCTTGTAGGGCTTGAGAGTGGCCTGCCATGTCACAAGAAGGACTGTGGTTGCAGGAGAGTACCACCACCCATCACTTTAGTTGGTATAGTACCCCACCTTCACGCATCCCAAGAGAGGCTCTCTCGCGTCCCATGAACCATGATTTGATTTCTTTTTTAGTTTCCCATAAGTAGGGTAGGTAGGTAGGTAGGTAGGTAGGGGCAGGGCAGGGGCCGGCCAGGTTTTTGCAGAATTTCAGCATGAGATACCCGCCCAAGCAAAAAGTACATACACCTTGCGCCTGCGGGCGGACCCTCACAGATCACAGATCACATACACCTGATCTCCCCTCGCCGCCGCCCTCGCCGCCGACACCGCCCTCGCCACCGCCCTCGCCGACACCACCCTCGCCACCACCCTCGCCACCACCCTCGCCACCACCCTCGCCACCGCCCTCGCCGCCGCCCTCGCCGCCGCCCTCGCCGCCGCCGCCCTCGCTGCCAACGCCATCACCACCCTCGCCACCGCCGCCCTCGCTGCCGCCGCCCTCGCCGCCGCCACCCTCGCCGCCGCCGCCCTCACCGCCGCCGCCCTCGCTGCCGCCGCCCTCGTCGCCGCCGCCCTCGCCGCCGCCGCCCTCGTCGCCGCCGCCCTCGCCGCCACCGCCCTCGCCGCCCTCGCCGCCACCACCACCACCCTCGCCGCCACCACCCTCGCCGCCACCACCCTCGCCGCCACCACCCTCGCCGCCACCACCCTCGCCGCCACCACCCTCGCCGCCACCACCCTCGCCGACACCACCCTCGCCGCCACCGCCCTCGCCGCCGCCGCCCTCGCCGCCGCCGCCCTCGCCGCCGCCGCCCTCGCCGCCGCCGCCCTCGCCGCCGCCGCCCTCGCCGCCGCCGCCCTCGCCGACGCCGCCCTCGCCGCCGCCGCCCTCGCCGCCGCCGCCCTCGTCGCCGCCGCCCTCGCCGCCACCGCCCTCGCCGCCACCGCCCTCGCCGCCCTCGCCGCCACCACCACCGCCCTCGCCGCCCTCGCCGCCACCGCCCTCGCCGCCACCGCCCTCGCCGCCACCGCCCTCGCCGCCGCCGCCCTCGCCGCCACCGCCCACGCCGCCACCGCCCCCGCCGCCGCCGCCCCCGCCGCTAACGCCCTCGCCGCCGCCGCCCTCGCCGCCGCCACCATCACCGCCCTCGCCACCGCCGCCCTCGCCGCCACCGCCCTCGCCGCCGTCGCCCTCGCCGCCGCCCCCGCCGCCGACACCGCCCTCGCCACCGCCCTCGCTGACACCACCCTCGCCACCACCCTTGCCACCACCCTCGCCACCATCCTCGCCACCACCCTCGCCACCGCCCTCGCCGCCGCCGCCCTCGCCGCCGCCGCCCTCGCTGCCAACGCCATCACCACCCTCGCCACCGCCGCCCTCGCCGCCGCCGCCCTCGCCGCCGCCGCCATCACCACCCTCGCCGCCGCCGCCCTCGCCGTCGCCACCCCCGCCGCCGCCGCCCTCGCCGCCGCCATCCTCGCCGCCAACGCCCTCACCACCGCAGCCCTCACCACCGCCGCCGCCCCCCCCCCCGCCCTCGCCAAAGCCGCCGCCGCCCTCGCCACCCTCGCCATCGCCAACGCCACCACCCTCACCGCCGCCACCTCCGCCGCCACCGCCCTTGCCACCAACACCCCCGCCGACGCCACCCTCGCCGCCAACACCCCCGCCACCACCCTCCCCACCCAGGGTAACCAAAGGGAGGCGAGAGGTAGTCATAGTCGCCGTCAACGTCGGGAGCATCGCCTACCAGACACCGGCCGCAGGGGCCGCGGCACATGGCACAGCAGGGACGTTCAGCAGGGCCCCGATGGGCACAAACATGAACACCCTACTGCGCCAAATGGGCGCCAGCAACCCCGACGGCACGAGAAGAGTCGCCCTCTGGGCGCTGTCGTCGACGGGCCTGCCCAAGAGGGACATCCCGAGAGCTCTGGCCGACTTCGCATCCGTCGGGTACCTATGTGAGGAGACGCACGGGGTAAGGGGCGACAGAAGGTCGGAGATAGCGGGCGTTATGGTATGCATCGACCCGAGGCAACTTCGATTCCTCAACGTCGGGCAGCGTAAGCAACGACACCGGGTGGTGAGGACAGGACGTATCCTCCGGGTGCGGCTGGGAATAATGGGCGCGACAGCAGACGACGACTTCGACGTCATGGCATGCTACATGCCGACACGGGGCGCGCAACGGAGGGGCGGACAGGAGAGCAGCGAGGCCAGCAGACAGTACACGCTGGCCGTATGGCGCTCGCTCGCGACCACCACCCTGCCACTGGCGGGACAAGGCCGGGCCCTAGTCATGGGCGACCTGAACGCCGAGCTGGGCCACAGCCTCCGTCACCGAGGCCGGAGGGCGTCGCCCAGCGATACTGCCCTGGCCCACCTGGTAGACATGGGGAGGGTGTCAAGGGTCCACCACGAGTCGGACTGGACGTACTGGCGCGCCGGAGCGGGAGACCCCTCCACCTCCGTCATCGACCATATCCTCGCCTCGGACATCATGCGACCGAACATCGCCGATCCGAGGACAGTCGATGGGATCGAGAGCGGACGCAACCGCCACCGAGCACTCGAGGCGAAAGTAATCTGGGGGAGCACCGGGAACGAGGACGACGAGGGAGAGCGCCTTGTCGATAGGGTCAAGGTATGCCACCTAGAGGGGCCACGGGAGCACGAGGCGTATGAAGAATGCAAGCTTCGGTACAAAAATAAAGCCCCGGGGGCGGTAGAGGAAGCGGTCGCTCGAGCCGGCGGCTGGGACGCAGAGCCCCGCACGCTGCTAATGGCCATCCAAGACGGCACGGCCCAAGCAATGCGAGACACCTTGGCACGGGAGAACGAGGGAAAGGCCGCCAAGCCACGTAGGAAGGGGGGCACCTCCGCCAAGAGGGCGCAAGCCGTCTTCTGGGAGGCGGCGCTGAGGGAGCGCCGAGGCGAGATCGGCGGGACGCCCGACCGGGCGCCGAAGACGCTGGACAGATGGCGAGACCTGTTCATCGACGAACCCCGAGCACGCAAGGCATACTCGACGTTCCATCGCGAAAGCGAGATGTGGCAGCGAATCAAAGAGATCTACTCCAGCGAGCTAAAGAGACGCACGCTCGGGGGGTACGGCGGCGAATGCGCCACCCAAGAGGACGCCGCCTTCACGCCAAACGAGAGGGGCAGCGCCATCGTGACTCATCGCCACGACGACGCTCCACCAGCGCCCACAGGGCAACTCTACTCCATCCTCGGGGTGGCAGCCGACGCGACGACAGACACGGTGCGACGGGCGTACAGACGGGAAGCACTGCTCTGGCATCCGGACAGGAACAGAAACGCACCAGCAGACGTGCAGAGCAGGGCGGAAGCGAGATTCAAACTCATAAACGAGGCACACGAAGTCCTGACAGACACGAGCAGAAGACGAGCGTACGACTCGAGGGCACGAGGCCGCAAGGCACAAATGAGCCCATATTGCTACGAAGGACGGACGCAAAGACTGCTAAGCAAGGCGGGCCTGGACCTCGCACAACGCCGAAGGGAGCTCGAGCTAGCCACCATCAACCTAATGCTGCCGAGCATCCAAGAGGTAGCCAACGACGAACGGGAATACGACCGCGCCAGCTACTACGAGCACAGGATGGAGGAAGCGGCGCGCCGCGGCGCCGTCGAGTCGGTCGTGTTCTCCCTGGTCTACGCGCACGAGAGATCCTTGGGAGGGAGGAACGCCCCACTCACGAGAGCCCAGGGCGGCAAACTCTCGGCGGTGACCATCGAGGAGACAGGTCGGGAGGAGCTCGTCTTCCAGCCAGCAAGGGTGAGGGAGGCCGTGAGGACACACATGGTCGCCCAAGGAAAGGGAACCCCCTGCAGCACAGCCGGAGCGAGGGCCATGCTGGGATGGGCGGCAGCAAGGGGCACCAAGACTAGCGACCCACACCCCGACGACACCGCAAACCCCACCGCATGGATCGACCGAATCTACACGGCTCGGGCACTCCATAACGCGCTCCGCCGCATGCGGCCAAAGGGACAGGCCACGGGCATTGACGGATGGCCAGGGGTGCTCATGCGATGGGCCCCGATGACGGTGCAGCGCCAGTACCTGGCGCAGCTCAGAAGGGCGGCAGCGGCTGACAGCTACCCGAAACAGTGGCCCGTCAGCCTCGTCACCCACATCCCAAAGCCCGGCAAGAGCACCTCCCGGCTTGACAAGATGCGCGACTTGTGGAACTGCCCGCACGGGTGGAAGATCAACACCCACATCCTACGGCCGGAATACGAGCGGGTGCGCAGGTCGGTTGTGCCGGGCTGCAACAGAGGATTCGGCGCCTATATGGACGCGGGAGAGGCGACGAGCGTGGCGGTCTACCAGACGGAGGAGGTGAGCACACTGTGCACGACGCTCAGCCGAGTCTACGTCGACCTAAAGGGCTTCTTCATGGGCGTCGTCCGCAGCCTCCTCTACAAAATCGAAGGGGACCTCGGCGTCGCCCCAGGGGTGACCGGCTGCATGAAGGCGGTACAGGACGTCATGCAAGGCAAGGCAGACACCGCCTTTGGGCTCTCCGACGCGTGGAGCGTGGGCACGGGCACAGCACAAGGGTGCGCCAACGCACCGGTACGAAGCACCATGCAGCTCGTCGTCATGATATACGCGATTGCCAGATACGGAGGAGGCTACTGCTTCGAGACACCTCTTGGCGCCCAACCAGCATGCGTGATGCAAATGTGGTTCGCAGACGACATGAACGGACCCGCAAAGGACGCGCCCACCGCCCAGCTCACCATCGAGGCTGCCTTCCTCGGAGCATGGACCCTGGGCAACAGGATAGGTGTCGAAGCGACGCCGACAAAAACCGCAGTGGAGCTCAGGCAATGCAGCACGGACGGCTTCGAATACGCGCAGGGCTACGACTTCAGACTACCGGACGGCAGACCCGTCCCGAGTGTCAAGGCCGAGCGAGGAGAGAGCGCCACGTATCCGTTGCTCGGGCACGCCATGGGAGCGGCCATCGGGAACCCGCCGACGGTGGACAACTTCGTCTACCGCGCCGGACTGCAGGTACGAGTCATACCGAGGCTGAGCGGGATGAGCCTCGCCACGTACGGCTTGATGGCGGACGCGACCAGAAGCAACCTCGCCGAGTACTACGGCGGCCCGTCCCCGATCCCCCTAAACCAAGCGGAGCGAGTCGACGTCGAGCACAGGAAGGCGGTGCGGCGGCTAGGGCACCAGGCGCCAGCAGGACCGCGAGTCCAAATCTATGGAAAGCGAACAGCGGGATGCCTGCAACAGCGGAGCACATACGTCTTCGCTGGGGCCGCGAGCGTCCTTCACGTGGACAAAGGGCTCCGGGCGGAGGTCGGCGACGGACACGGGCTCGCAGCGCAAGCAAGCCTCGCACTCCGGGCGCACCAGCTCGGCTTTGTCCCCACCCCGGAGGAGCCGACACCACTCGACTGGCGACCGACATACGCGGTCGAGAAGCTGCAAGGCGAGCGCACCACCGACGCCTTCTGGCTGGCACTGATACGCGCCGGCATACACACGCGACACACAGGGGGGGGTGCAGGCACCGGCCTCCCCCTCGACCCCGCCCTACCCGCCTTCCGACCGCCAACGGACGGCGGGGGGCCCGTGGCGGGGGCGATTTGAAAACGAACGTAGCGGTTCGATGAGTCAGGGGGAGGGGGCGAGCAGGCAACAGGAAGAGGATGGAGAGCCGCTGACGAAAGCCCAGAGACAGCGCCAGCGCAACCGAGTGCGGGGATCACCCCGAAAGCCAACCAACAAATTCTCTGGCCTCAGCTGAGAAGGATAGGGTCGACGGGTGATGGGAGCGAGACCGAACGGCCGGGCATGCTCCTGCACGCCCGGGCAACTAGGTCATGGACCTCCCCCCTCCCCGAGTGTGTCGTGGAGATGGTAACTTGTTCATAATGCTGCTTGTACAACCACGACCGACGCGAGGACGCAAGTCCACCAACCTCGGCCATTCCAACGGCCAGACCGCTCGCTTAAGGCTGATTGGCTAGACGAGCGGTCTCCCTCCATGGGGCTGTTGGCGCAGGGGGAGGTGTCAATCACGCTCCCGGGACGCCGGAGAGATCGGGTTGGTCTCCCCCGCCTTCAGCCCTGACCCGACGGGGACGCCACCACCCTCGCCCAGGGATCTACAATGCTGTCTTAAGGTCCGACAGGTTCGGCACCGGGCACCGCCTCGGTATACAAAATGCGCCTGCGGGCGGACCCTTACAGATCACAGATCACACCTGATAGGGGGTCTGCTTACCACGGTTGGTGTCCAGTCCGAGCCTGGCTGTTCGAGTCATGGTGGAACAGACCCCCTATCTGGGTAGGAGCCGGAACCCAGCACTCGGGTTGACTCGGCCAGATAAAAACCTCGAGAGGCGTGGCCGTGGGAGTACCTCGCCAGGTGCAGCGAGAGGGGCGAAAACAGACAGAAAAAAACATGTTGCATGTGCATGTGCATCTGCATGTGTTTAAAGAAAATTCGAATAATTGGCGCCTCGCTTTTCTCTCGAACCCCTGCAGCGCGTGCGAGGGCCAGCTCGAAATGGCAGAGGGAGATCCAAAGGGGTTTTGGAGATTCTTTGTTTCTTTCCTTCGCCACCAGCGCCACCAGGCTCCCCGACGCGCGCGCCCCGGGCGGCCCTCCTTCCACCACCATGACCGCCCGCTCCCTTTGGTACGTCGGCGGCGACGCCTGCGAGCTTCGGGACTGCAGTGTACCCGTCGTCGGGCCGGGCGAGGTGCTAGTCGTGGCGACGCACGGCGCCGTGTCGCGAGGCACCGAGTCGCTCGTGCTGCGCGGCGGCGTGCCTCCCTCCGAGCACACGCGGATGCGATGCCCATTCATGGAGGGCGATTTCAACTACCCGTGCAAGTATGGATACTGCAGCGTCGGCTTCGTCGCCGAGGCCGGCAAGGGCGCCGAGCCGCTCCTCGGCCGGCACGTCTTTTGCCTCTTCCCGCACCAGGACCGCTACGTGGTCCGGATGGAGGCGGTGCACGCGCTGCCGGAGGGGACGCCTCCGTCGCGGGCTGTCCTCACGCCCAACCTCGAGACCGCCGTCAACATCGTCTGGGACTCGAAGCTCAGCGTGGGTGACCGGCTCGCCGTGGTCGGCGCAGGAGTCGTCGGCTGCCTCGTGGCCTACGTCGCGTCGCGGGTCGCAGATGTGTCGGTGCTGCTGGTGGACGTCGACGCGTCCCGCTCCGCCCTCGCCGAGCGCCTCGGAGTCCGATTCAGGCGCCCACGCACTCTCATAGAGACTGCGCCACCGCCCACACGGCTCCAGCCTGCACCTCGCGTGCAGGGCTCGCCGAGATACAGCCGAGATAAAGCCGAGATACATCCGAGATATAGCCGCGATACAGCCGCGATATAGCCGCGGTACAGCCGCGATATAGCCGAGATGTAGCCGCGCCTCGCGTGCAGGCTCGCCGAGCAGCTGACGGCGGAGGACGCGGACAGGGACGTCGTGGTGCACTGCTCGGGGGGCCCCGCCGGCTGCGCGACCGCTCTCTCCCTCGCGGGCGACGAGGCCGCTGTCGTAGAGGCGTCGTGGTTTGGCGACAAGCAGGCGCCGCCGCCTCGGGCCGGCACCTCGCAGCTCCGCCCACCCACCGCCCCGCGCCCTTGCAGCCGGCCGCGCGGCCTTGGTGCGGCGGCGGGGGCGGCGTGGCGCCGCATGGGAGTAGTGTCTGGCTCGTGCGCAGCCGTCTCACCCCGGCGGTCGGTCTCACTCGGGGGGTGGGGGAGGTGGGGGCGAGGGCGAGGGCGAGGGTGAGGGTGAGGGTGAGGGTGAGGGTGAGGGTGAGGGTGAGGGTGAGGGTGAGGGTTAGGGCTTGGCTCTCCCTCACCGGCCTCCACCGGCCGCAGGTCTCTCTGCCACTGGGCGAGGCCTTCCACTCGCGACGGCTCAAGCTCGTCTCCTCTCAGGTCGGCCAGCTCCCCGTCGAGCGGAGGCCCCGCTGGACCTACGCGCGCCGCATCCAGGCCGCACCACTCCCTCGGCTGCCGGCCGGGACCATGCACATGCACATGCATGCATGTGCATGCACATGTCCATAACCCTCTGCCCCGCCTGTCCCAAAGGTTGCCCTCCGGCTGGCGGCCGACCCGCTGCTCGACGTGCTCATCGCGCCCGCGGACATCGCGTTCGAGGACCTCCCAAAGGCGCTCCCCGAGGTTTGCTCGGCCGGCGCCGCCCTCTGCAGACGCATCCTCTACCCCGTGCCCGAGCTGCCCCCCACGCCGCCGCGCCCGAACGACCTCGGCCAGCCCCGGCTCGCCAGGATGAAGATCGCGCTGAACACGCAGGCTTGAGGTTCTATGTAGTTGAGAACCGGCTGCGGGGCGGGCGCTGCCCTCTAAGCTCTAAACAAACTGCTGTGGCCTGTGCGGCCAACGGCAACGGCCACACGGCAACGCCGCGACTAGCGCGACAGCCGATACGTCTGAGTTTGCCATGTTTGGGTCCCAATCCAACTAGTGGACTGTGCACCCCACGCGTATTGTTCTGCATGCCCATGAGAGAAAATTGACTGGTACTGAGCAGAAAATTCAAGAGTAAAAAACTAAAACGAAAAATAAATAAATAAATAAAACGGGCAAACTCTGAGACGAGATGGGATTTAGGGACATGTGTCCCCGCCCTGCACGATCTTGGTGTGAGGGATCTTCAATCCGTGTCCCCTCACCCCTCGTCACAACCCGACACGGAAGAGCGGCAAGAGTTGGGGCTGCGGCTACGGCTGCGGCTATGAGAGGGGCCGGGGTCGCGGGAGAGCCGCTGCGCCGCGTGGACGCGCCTACACCGCTCTTGCTCCGCTCGCCACCTCTCGCAAAGGTCCAAAGCCATAGCCACCACCTCCTCCGGAAAAAAGAGCTCCGCCGGCCGCGCTATTTTTGAAAGTCGCACTACAAGCCCGGCAAGCTCAGCACTGAGTGTGGACACTATGGGGAGTCTATAGCTATGCCCCTTACATCCAGGGACCGACCACACGAGGGCCCACACCCGTCTCAAGCCAGACAAATTTCGGTCACCGGCGCGCGCACGGCGCCTCCTCGTCCTCCTCCTCCTCCTCTTCAATGAGCGGCGTGCGGGGCGGGCCGGTGGCGCCCAGCTCGCGGGGATCGAGCCGCCACCCATACGAGACCGGCTTGTTCCACTTCTCGGGAAGAAAGGCGATCCATCTCTCCCCCGCCGGCTCGTCGTACTCGGGGTCGGTGTCCCAAGCCCAGAGCAGCATGCCGGCCAGGAGGATCTTGCGTGCGCGCGGGCTCCTCTTGTCGGTGAGGCCGTCCGCGACGCGCTTGACCCTGCCGGCGGCCCAGATCTTGACCGTCCTACCGTCCTCCTTGTATGGCCAGCACACCTCGAGCCACTTTCCCACGAGGCGCGTGTCGAAGGGGGGGGCCTCGCGGTCCTGCCGCACCTCGACGCTGTCCGAGATGCCCGCCGCCTCGCGCAGCTCCCGCGCGGCCTTCGCCTTCTCGAGGAGGTTCGAGACGTTGAAGATGCTCTGCTGCTCCAGGCGGTGCCCAGGGTCTTGATCGAGCGGACCCGCAGCTGAGGAGGCGCCGCCTATGGGGAGCGACACGTCGAGTGAGACGGGGAAGCGCTCATCTCAGAGCGGAGCGCGGGCGGCGCGCCTCGGTCGGGAGCTTATTGAGCCGCCGCAGCTGGATCTCGTGGGGCAAGATGTCGTCGAGCAGCATGCGCTTGAGGTCCTCGATCTTGTGCGAGCGCTCGTCGGAGAAGAAGCCCCACTTGGTCTCGAACTGCGTCCAGCCGCAACCGACTGTCCGCATCTCGATCTGGCGGCGCAGCTCCGCCAGCTGCTCGGGTTCCGACTTGCCGCCCAGCGCCCGCTCGAGCTCGGCGGCGGTCTTCACGCCCTGCTTCCGCCACTGGTCGAAGAGCTCGAGCGCGGCGGCGTACCTCTCGACCGCGGCGTTGAGCTGCCGCTGCACTGCCTCCTCGCGGCGCAGCAGCTTCTCCTGGTCGTGAGATAGCACCTCGGCTCGCCCCTCCTTGAGCGCGTCCGGCAGCCTGCGCCGCGCCATCGTGACGAGCGACGAGCGCAAATCGGCGCGCAACCTCCAGAAGAAGCCGAGGGGGGGAGCCTCCGCCGGCTCCGCCTTACGCTTGCGCCGGTCGCTGACGACGTCGAGCGGGCGGTCGTAGTCGTGAGCCGCGCGCTGCTGCACCACGCCAGACACGTTGAAGACGCTCATGTTGCGGTAGAACCGCATGATGTAGTCGGCGATGGCGAACTTGTTCTCGACCGCGTCGTTCGTCGCGTGCGCGTCGATGGTGCGCCGGTGCGCGTCCTCGTTCTTGCTCCACGCGTTGACGCCGTCCTGCGACTCGAGCTTGTCAGCCAGCGCCAGCTTCGGGTCGTGCATCTTCTTGCGCCGCCTCCGCCTGGAGCTTGGCGAGCTCGAGCACCTTGGGCGTCACCTGCTGGTTGCCCGAGCCAGGCGTCGGCACGCGCGCCTCGCGCAGGACGTCGGCGAAGGTGTGGTCGCCGCATCCCTTGAGCGGCAGCGCCAGCAGCTCGGCGCGCCAGTCGCGGAAGGCGGGCAGCTCCTCGGCGACGGCGGCGAACATGTCGAACTCGGGGTCGAGTAGCCGCGCCGGGTCCGCCACAACCTGCTCCATGCCCGCCTCGACCTGCTCCAGCACCCAGCCCATCTTGTAGAGGGACCAATCGTCGAGCTTGCTGGCGCTGCCACAGAGCCACCGGAGCGGGTCCGAGAAGGCAAAGCGCCAGAGCGTGTTGACGCGGAGGAGCGCCGTGAACTCGTTGCACTTCATCACGGTGTAGAGCGACTTGTCCAGCACGTTCTGCGATTTCGGGTAGTCGATGTAGCCGCGCAAAAAGTCGACGCACGTCACGCGGTTGATGAAGAGGGGCACGCAGCCGTCGAAGGCTAGGTCCCGCCGCGACCCGGCCGCCCGCTCGAAGGGGAGGAACATCAGCGCCCGCGTCTTGCGCCACGACTCAAACTCGCGGCCGCGCCCCTTCGCGTACTCGCCCCCGTGATGGAACTGCTTGAACGCGGCGCGAATGACGCAGCTGCCGTCCGGGTCGATGCGCTCGAAGGAGGAGAACTCGTCCAGTTCGTCGTCGAGCGTCGCCTTCACCGACGCGTTCGCCGCGGCCGCCATGGCCTCTATGATTATGTTGCGACGGTGCTGCCAGCAGTCGCCGAGGTACGTCTTGTACTTCCGCTCGCGCTCCTCCTCGGTCATGGCCTCCCACGCCGCCTTGCCGACCTTTGCCTCGACGGCGACCATCGCAGCGGCGGCGACCATGCGCCGCGTGCAGCGCGCGCCGTTGCACGTGTCCGTCATGAGGACCGTGTCCTCGCACAATCGGTGCAGGCCAATGTTTTCCGGCGCCGGCCCGCCCGCCGCCGCCCAGCTGCCCGCGCCCTTCTCCTTCTCGTGCTGCGCGATCCACGCGGCGAGGACGCGCCGCGAGTAGGGACAGGATGCGCTCCTCGATGTGCGCGAGCAACGCTACCGACGTGCCGCCGTGCGGCAGTATCGAGAGCCCGCGCAAGCACACGTCCTCGATGGTGCCGTCGAAGTGCTCGAGCTGGAAGTCGCAGCTGAAGACGGAGTTTCCGAACTTGGTCGACTCGTCCCAGCCAAAGGATATGACGCGCCGGCTCGCCGCGAACTTAAAGGCGGCCATCGCCTCGCCGGCGATCGTGACCTCGCCGCGCATCAGTTTGCTTTGGCGCGCGCAAGCGGCCGGCACGCCGTGGCCCGGGCACAGCACGTCGAGCACGTCCTGGATGTTGGCGGAGACGGTGGATGAGGCCACGCCGCGCGCGAGCTGCGCGTGCCGCAGCCCGCGCAGCTCGGCGGACTCGGCCTGCCAGCGGCCGTGCTCGTCGCGCCGCGGCAGCAGGCCGACAATCGGCGAGCAGCCCGGGCGCGGCGACGGCTCGTCGTCCTCGGACTTGGACTCCTCCTCAACCCTGAGCTCCTCGACCCGCGCCTTGAGCTCCTTGACCTGGAGCTGCAGCCCGGGCAGCTTCGCCGCGTCGCCCTCGACGGCGCGCGCCCGCTTGCGCGCCGTCGCCACCTCCGTCTTCTTGACCTCGAGCGACGCCGCGTGCGCGAGGCCAGCGTCCGCGAGCTTCTCGTTTGCCCGCTCCAGCTTCTTGGTCAGCGTCACAACGCGCACGTAGGACGCGCGCTCGACGGCCGCGTCAAAGTTCCGCTTGCGCATGGCGAGCTGCGCCGCCCGCGCCGTCTTCTGGGCCTCAGAGTAGCCGCGCTGCTGCGCCTCCTTGTACTTGCGCGCGTCAGCCCGCTTGCGCTCCGCGCGCTTCTTCACCTTGTGGAGCTTGTCGGCGAAGCCCGCGCGCTGCGCGCGGCAAACCGCCAGCTCGCGCTCGAGCGCCTCGATCTTCTGGTCCTTCAACCCGATGGTCGCGGTGAGCGCCGCGTTCTCCTCTATCATACTGGGAGCAGAAGGCAGCGCGGCGGCGGCCGGCGGTATGCCGAGAGCCGCGCGCAAGATTGGGTCGCGCCGATAGATTAGGTCGGCGACGCGCGTCGCAGCCCACGCTTTGAAGCGCTTCGGCGGCCTCTTGCCGCGCGGCGGCTGCGGCAGCCCGCCAAGCCCGCCACTGTCCGGGTTCTTGTTTAGCAGCGAGTGGTATGAGAGTAGGTGGCCGACTGTCACGCCCTCGCGCGCGCCGCAGCCCTCCCAGCCATCCACCGCCTTGACCACGGCCTCGCACGTCTCCTTGTGCCACTTGCCGTCGACGACCCGCTGAAACGTGTCGTAGTAGCCGGCGGGCGCCGCCGCCGTCGCCCAGCCCGCCCGCTCATCCGCAGCCTGCGCGGCGAGAGGCGCCAAAGCCGCCGCCCATTCCTGGGTGTCCTCGGCGTTACTCTCGGTGCGGACGATGAAGAGGGCGAAAATCAGCACCTCCGTGTCCGTGGCGTCGGCGTGGTGCCGAGCGAAGAACGTGTCGCCCTTGGAGGTGATAGGGGACAGGAGTTTCTCTCCTGCGCAGGCGCGCGAGCGAGCGTCAGCGCGCCGAGGTCCACTGCGCGCCCGACCTGTCCAAGGTGCTTGGCAGCACTTGGTGGGTTGATCCGTGTCTCACAGCCCTGGCCGTGAAGGGTACTCGCCCCGGCCTCCGGCGACCCGACGGCCGCCTCCGCGGCGGCGGCGCCCTGTGCGTCCAGCTGCAGCTCGATCGCCAGGGCCAAGCAGTCCGGGCCCTGAGCCCCCCGAGCAGTGCAAACATCCATCGCTTCCATGCCTCGAGGAGCGATCTACCGGTTCCTCACCCGTCATCGTGACGCCGAACACCGTCGGATCGCCTCGACTGCTCGAGATCCAGTTTGGGTTTGGGGCTTGGAAAATGAATGTTTTAGTGGACCATTTCCCCCACTACGGCCGCGCGGCCCCCCGCGCCCCGCGCCCCGCGCCCCGGGGGCGCCTCCTCCATGCACAGGCTCTATAGCGCAATGGCTCATCTCGGGCGCGCCAGTGTGACACAAGGCTCAGAGCGCCGCACAGCGCGCTCAGCGGCCCGGGGAGCCGACCGGAAGAGCGACGACCGCGCATGCTGCACCCCAAGAGCGACTTCGTACGGACTGGGCCACGGTTCACGGGCAGCGAGACAGCCGCGCGACAGAGCTCGAGCGACAGCCACCTCGTATCTCTGTCCTCTCTGCGCGGGTGGTTGACATTTGTGCCAGGCAGCCGCGCGCCACGTGATCGCTCTCTCTCTCTCTCTCTCTCTCTCTCTCTCTCTCTCTCTCTCTCTCTCTCTCTCTCTCTCTCTCTTCTCTCTCTCTCCGTCTGCCCTCGGAACCCCGCACCCGCCGCAAGCTCGCAAGCTCCCGCATTGACCCCCCCCCCCCCCCCCTGCGCCTTAGCGGGGCAGCGGAGGCCCACCGGTGTATCCCGGCCGGCCGTAGTTCGGCTGCGCCCGCACCACGGTCGGCGCAGGGATGACGTTCGAGATCGAGTCCCACGGCTTGATCGACTCTTGGATCATGGTCGCCGTCTCGCCGGGGAGCAGCTCGTCGTCCTCGTCGTCCACAACCTGTGCGGCGGTCAGAGGGGGCGAAGGGGCCGGCGTAGGCGTCCGAGCGACCCGCCCCACCTCTCCACCCTCCGTCCCTCCCCCCCCCTGCTAGCCGCCCCTGCTCTTCAGCAGCCCCCCCCCACCCCCCCACCCACCCCCAAACTGTGTGTCTCGGCTATCCACATCTCGGCTCTCTCGCCTTGAGCACATTCGAGACGGCGATCTGCGAGCGCTCCATCTGGGCCTCCAGCTCGCGCTGCGCCTCCTCCTCCGCCAACGCCTCCCGTGCCGCCGCGCGCTGCAGCGCCTGTGCCGGGGTCGTGGTGCGCACGTGTTAAGAGGGGCGGGGGCGGGGGGGGGGACACAGCTTGGTGCTTGGTCCGCACGGCGCATGGGGCGCAGAGGGCTAGACACCGCGGCCTCCCCCGTACTGAGTGTGCTGCGTGGAGCGGCTGCTCGCTACGGCGCCGCGGGCCTGTATGGTGGTGCTCCCCTCGTCGTCCTCCTCCGCCTCTTGGATGCGCCTACAGCAAGCCAGAGGCACGCGGCTCCGGGACACACGCTCGCGGGGAGGGCGTCCTCCTCCTCCTGCTGGAACGCGCCGCATCCGCATCAGGTTGTTGCGCGAGAGAGAGACGGGTGCCCCCTTCGGCAGCGCGCGCGGCGCCTGCTCCGGCGGAGGAGCCGGAATCCGCCCGACCCCCGAGGCTAGCCCCAAGATTAGAGGCTGGTTGACCGAAGCTGACCAAGGCTGGGCGAGGCTTCAGCCGGACCAAGACTGGGCGAGGCTGGGGGCGAGGCTGGGGGCGAGGCTGGGGGCGAGGCTGGGGGCGAGGCTGGGCGGGGTCGCCTTCTTCGGAGGCGGGGGCGGCTCCGTGCCAAGCTTCTTGTGCACCCGCTGAGCGAGCTCGTGTTCGAGCGCCTGCGGGAAGGGTGCGGGAAGGGTCGGGGAAGGGTCGGGGAGCGCAGCCTCTCGCCTTGCGCAGCCCCTCTCGCTCGAGCGCGCGCCTATGCGGCGGAGAGGGGAGAGAGCCCGACGTGTCAGAGTAGCGGGCTTTGCGCCGGTGTGTGGCACCGGTGCGTGGCACGGCGGGCGCGGGTGAGGCCTCGAGGATGTCGATGGGGTCTGCGCCGCCTTGCAGCTCCTGGCGGACGGCGCCTGGCCGGAGGGAGGCGGGGCAGCCCAGGCGTGTGACAAGATAGGGAGGCAGGGAGGGAGGGAGGGGAGGGAGGGCGGGGGCTGAGGG